TAGGGTTTAGGGCCCTTGGTCAGCTTGCTCTGCGGACAGTGACACAATTCCTCAGCTGAATGTGCCGCGGAGGCCATGGGACCCCTACAGCCTTGGCTTTCAGGGCTTAGGGTTTAGGGTTTAGGGTTTACAGTTTAGGGTCTGGGGTTTAGGGTTTAGGGTTAGGATGATCAAACTTTTAACAGTCCACGGAACCCCATACCATAGGAGGAAGTCCGAAAACCCTGCAACTGGAAAGCGGTTTAGGGTTTTGGGTGTAGGGCTTAGGGTTCAAGTCTGTCTGATGTCCTAAACCCTACAAGGCCTACAAGCCCCCTATAACCCCTACTGGCCCAATAAGCCCGACGACCCGAGGCAAGGGCGACCTCCTTTGATCCCAAGAGCCTTAGGGTGTGGGTTCACGGGCTCACTTCGCCAAGGCACAAGGCGGATACCACCGCGACGATGAGGATGACATCTTGTGACGAAAAGGGGCCTCTGCACGCCTGATTTAGGCTTTGCGGTTTACAGACCAATCGGCTTTAGGGTTTAGGGTTTCGGGTTTAGGGTTTAGGGTTTAGGGTCTGTAGGCTCGGGTCAGCATGTCAACATGTCCGGGCGGGTGTTGGAAGGTTGGCCGGGTTCAGGAAACGCAAGAAGGCACAGCAATTCTCTATTCGCCACCTCATGTTGGCCTGTTGGACCCCTAAACCCTAAACCCTAAACCCTAAACCCTAAACCCTAAACCCTAAACCCTAAACCCGAAACCCTAAACCCTAAACCCTAAACCCTAAACCCTAAACCCTAAACCCTAAACCCTAACCCTAAACTATAAACTCAAACCCTAAACCCTAAACCCTTTGAAACATGTGCCAAAGGGGATGGCTTGGACACTGTTGTAGCCGACGCCCTAACCAACCCACATCCCCAATCATTTTCCCGACTCCCTCAACGCGGAAATCTGCAAGGTATGCTGAAGGAAGGTTTCTCAGTATGCCGACATTCTGAGTCCCAAAGCTGAGTGAGTCTTTGTGAGTCTTTGTAGGGAATCTTGGATTCGAAATGGTAGCCGAATTCCGTATAGCTCCTACCCTAAACCCTGATTTAGGGCTTAGGGACTCGACTCTCACCGGGATGACACGCTCACCCCTCGTTAGGGTCAAGGGCGAAGGGTTTAGGGTTTAGGGTTTAGGGTTTAGGGTTTAGGGTTTAGGGTTTAGGGTTTAGGGCGTACTGGCCGACCTGTAGCGCCATGGCCACCCGGCGATTTGGCTACCGACATCTCCTGGGTGGAGCTAGCGGAGTCGGCCTCCTGGCCCTCTACTCCTGGCGCAGGACCTGGGGTTTAGGGTTTAGGGTTTAGGGTTTAGGGTTTAGGGTTTAGGGTTTAGGGTTTAGGGTTTAGGGTTTAGGGTTTAGGGTTTAGGGTTTAGGGTTTGGCAGAAGTATCGCGCCCCCTTACGATCCCCTAGTGTCTCCTCACTAGCATACACTTGGGAACCTGTGTATGTTTAACGGCTAATGGCTTCGCGTTTTTCCATCAACAAGTCGCGGACAAGCGCCAAAAACTCGTGGACCTGCTCCAACATTTCGGGGACAAGCGCCAACAATTCGCAGACAAGGGTCAATTCGCGGCAAAGCGCCGACAATTCGCGGACAAGCGCCGAAAAATGGCACCAACAATTCGCGGACAAGCGCCAACAATTCGTGGACAAGCACCGCCGGGCACATTTGTCCCGGGGGGCCCCAGGAGGATGATTGAGGGTGGGGTGGGGTGTAGCCAGCCGCGGCAGCCGCGGGGCCGGTTTTAGGGTTTAGGGCTTACTCTGGGCCTTTTCTGGGCTGGCTTTAGGGTCTAATAGGGCCTGCTTTAGGGTTTAAGGCCTACTCTTGGCTGGCTTTACGGTTTAGGGCCTCTGTCTCCGGGCTGGTTTTACTCTGGGCCTACTCGGCTTTAGGGTTTAGGCTTTGGGGCCTACTAAACCCTAAATCCTAAACCCTAAACCCTAAACCCTAAACCCTACTTTAGCCTACTTTGGGCTGGTCCGGCCGCGAGGAGCTCTAGCCGCTTGGCCCAAGCCAAGGCCCTCTCCCAGGAGCCCACGTGTTTGTCGGGCTGGTACGGTTTGTGGTGGTTAGGGTTTAGGGTTTAGGGTTTAGGGTTTAGGGTTTAGGGTTTTGGGTTTAGGGTTTAGGGTTTAGGGTTTAGGGTTTAGGGTTTAGGGTTTAGGGTTTAGGGTTTAGGGTTTAGGGTTTAGGGTTTAGGGTTTAGGGTCTTTGAACCCATGGACCAACCCCAAAGCCTTGCCCTAAAATCCTAAACCCTACCAAAGCCTTGCCCTAAAATCCTAAACCCTACAAACCCTATGAAGCCTATAAACGCACGGCCCGCCATCCTCCGCTCTCGTTGGAGTGTTTCCGCTCCCCCCCCCCCGCCTGTGTGCTGTACCCCCCACCCCCCCCCACCCCCACCTTATCATCCCTACACCCTATCAAGCCCTAAGCCCTTACCCCAACCCTAATCCTCACCCCAACCTTAGCCCCAACTCATCCGTGCGAGGACGTCTGCCTTGCGGGTCGATCGGCCCTGGTGGTGGGTGGCACCTCGGGCATCGGCCACGGCTTGGCGAGGCGCCTGGCCATTGCCGGCTGCTCTGTGACGGTGGTGCCCTGGTGGCAGCTTGCTACTATTTGCCTATAAGAACCCCAAAACAAGCAACAAATACCAATCCCCGTACTTCCCTGATAAGGAAGAGTATTTCAGGGGGGCTCTTAAGCAGCTCGGAACTTAGGTTTACGGATTCAGGGCCCCTGAGGGCGTCGGCGTATCGGTAAAGGTTTTTGTTGGGGGTCTTTTAAGGGTGTTTTTCACGCAGAAGAATGAGGCTTGCATACCATCACGCAGATGTGCAGCTGCTACGCCAGGGCTGGACTTCGACCTCATAAAGCAGAAAAGATGTTTAGAGGTCAGGGTTTAGGGCCGCAGGGGGAGACCACAAGCCCCGCCAAAAGTCCTCAACCCAAGACGAACATTCAACCCTAAACCCTACCCCTTCCCCTAAAGCCAAAACCCTAAACCCTTAAACCCTAAACCCTAAACCCTAAACCCTGAACCCTAAACCCTAAACCCTAAACCCTAAACCCTAAACCCTATGCGAACCTGACTTCGGGCTTCAGAGGTCGGCCGGTCCCCCGAGAGGGGAGCCGCCATCGTCGAGGAGCTCAAGGCGGTCATGGGTTCCCCTACTACCCCCCTTCTATGGGTTTAGGGTTTAGGGTTTAGGGTTTAGGGCTGAGGGTTGAGGGTTGAGGGTTTAGGGCTAGCCCCCCTAGGTTCCTCCCTTAAATAACCTGAGTTAGGCGTAATTCTCCCTAAATGGCCCCAACTATGGGGGGAAACCTAGTAGTATAGAGGGGGTAGTAGCCCTAAACCCTAAACCCTAAACCCTAAACCCTCAACCCTCAACCCTGCGGTAGTAGGGGAACCCATGAGGCGGCTGCGGAGAACGCTGGCCGGAAAGATGTCCCAAGCGATGGCGGGGTGTCTTGCCAAGGCAATGTAGGGTTTAGGGTTTAGGGTTTAAGTTTTAGGGTTTAGGGTTTAGGGTTTAGGAAGGTTTAGTAGGGTTTAGGGATTGTACATAAGGGTTTCGGGTTTATGATTACAGGGTTTCGGACATCCGGATTCAGGTTTTCTGAATTTCGGACATATAAGGGTTATGGTTATGGTTGTGTAGGGCTTGGCATTTGATAGGATTTAGTGCGCAAAGACCTCGGGGGTTTTGGAATGGGCTTTTGGAGCTGTAGGCTTCGTGTGGCTAAGGGTTTATGAGGTTTTGCGTGCAGGGCCTTGGGATTAACAATGGCTCTAGGTCCAGCTGAGGGGCTGGAGGCTGGTGGAGCTACGGAACTTGAGCTTCCAAGTAAGGGCTCAAGTTCTCCAACTTGTGCTGCAAAACCGGAAGGCGCGCGCATTGGCGGTAAGTTTAGGATTTGGGTTTAGGGTTTCGGGTTTAGGGTTGCGGGTGCCGGTTTGAAAGATGGGGTTTCCAACTTCGGCGAACCCTACTTTTGCCTGTTCATGGAAGTCACGGTGATCAGTAACGATTTTAGTGACGGTCAAAGCTAGGGGTCGGAATAGTTACAAATAACATTCGCTTATGGTCCCTTCATAAATATACTAGAATAACCATCCAAAACCCTCTTCTACCTTCTTAGGGCTCCTACAGTACCCAGTTTGGATTGGGGTGTCGGGGGGCTGTTGTTGCAGAGCTTTTTTTCGGCCTGAGGTCTACACCTTCCGTGCCCTGGATGCTTTCTCCCTGCCAGCCTGCCGTGCCCTGGCCGAAGAGATGCTGAAAGCAGAGGCTAAGCTGGACTACTTGGTGCTGACGCACGGCATGGCCACTGTGCAGGCCTGGGCAACCCTGGATCCCTTCATGATTAGGGTTCAGGGTTTCGGGCTTAGGGTTTAGGGTAATTTTCCAGTGCCATCGTCTCTGAGGGTCATGGTTTATGACACTGTACTGCTATCTATGTATGTATGTACATACAATATGTGTATATATATATATATGTATAAGTAAACGGTATAGCCGGTACAGGATTAAAAGGGGAGAATATTGGTGTTCTTCGGCTCCTGTATCCGGTGGCGCGGAAAAGCTCCGGCAACAACAGCTGAAGCAACATCTGCCCTAAGATTCGACAAGCAGGGTTCCTGCCTGTAAGCCTCTTATCGACAATCTTTGGGGTTCTACAAGCCTCTTTTTTTAGACTCTTACAAGGGAAACAAATATAGGGGTCGGAATAATGACTAACAGTATTCCCTTATGGCCCCTTTATATTCATACTATAATACGATAATAATCCTAAAACCCTGTCCTAATTTTACGGCCCCTAACCCTAAACCCTAAACCCTAAACTCCGAAACAATATTAGCCACCCAAAACTGGGCAGCTGCGCCCCCCCCCCCCCCCCCCTCCCGGCAGGGCTACACACCTACGCCGCCCGAGAAGGGCGGCATGGACGAGAAGCTCACCTTACACTACTACTCCAGGCAGGGATAGGGTTTCGGGTTTAGGGTTCAGGTTCAGTCAGGGTTGAGGGTTTCGGGTTTCGGGTCTAGGGTTTAGGGTTTCGGATAGCGAAGCTGGTCTAGGATTAGGATGTAAGGCTTGCAGGGCGTCCTCTTTTCTGTCAGGCGGCGCAGCCCGGGCACGGAGTTCTCCCAGTATCATCATCCTCAGCACATCTAGGTTTTAGGTTTCCGGGTTTAGGGTTTAGGGCTCAGGGTTTAAGCTGGCCCGTCACAACGTGGAATCCAGGGCGCTGCTCATGGACGCTCTGGCGCCTCTGTTGCAGAAATCCAGCGACGGCCGATGTCTGTCGGTGTTGAGCGGGGGTGTGCATGGGCCCTACGCCGGCTACGGCGAGGAGCTGCGGGTTGAAACGTGGTTTAGGGTTCAGGGTTTAGGGGTTTTTCAGGTGCCCTCCATGCACCCGAAACCTTAAAAGCCCTAAACCCTAAGCCCGAGACCTTAGAAACCCTATACCCTAGGCCCTTCAGCTCTACGTAGGGTCTGCTGCGCGTTGTGGAGGACCCAGACCTGTCAAAGAGCTACTCTTTGACGAAAGCCGCCAACCTCGCAGGCAGGGCTTGGGATGATTTAGGGTTTCGGGTTTATGTAGAGTTATGCAATACGGAACCTTGATTCGGGGTACAGTGATCTAGATAAAGCTGTTGTAAGGGCTGCAAGCGTAAGCATGCAGGCCCTGACCCATGTTGGACGTGCTGGCAGGTGTTTTTTCGATGATTTTCAGTATTTTCTGAGATTTGGAATGATATGTGAGCCCTCTGCCATAGACATGAATGAGGATCCTCTTGCAGATCGAAACAGATAACATGGGTTCGCAGACCACTCATCTCGCTTCCTGTGAGAGCTACAACCCCTTCCTTGCACTCTTCTCTCGTGAAGTCCATGGTTCACACGCAGATATTTTTTCGAAATCATAGCAGTTCATGTGGTTTCTGCCCTGTGCCAGTTCTAATTATGATTTTGCAAGAGGAGTTCCAAAGAAATGATGAGGATTCCGGAATCTTCAGAACAAACTCTAGATCTCCCCCATGCAAATTCGCCACCCGTATTGCGGAGGCCCCTACCCTTCTTGATGTGGACTGGGTCCCCACCATATGTCCTGCCAAACAGACATGTCCCAACAATCAGCACTGTGCTGCAGGGACATACAGATCTGCGTAGATGGATTTGCATGAGATGAATTTCCATTTCATGTTCATGTGAAACCGTTCAAGCTTGGAGATTGCCAGGCAAATGCTAACGGCACTTTGCCCATCACTAGTCTTGTCACTTCCCCCGCCCCACGTATTCCCAACTGCGCCATTAAGGCGTCGAAGGAGCCGTGCAGAACAAGATCAAGAGAAAAGCGCACACAGCAAACAGATGCCGTCAGAACCCAGAATCAGTATGAAGAGCCGTGAATGTGAGCCCAAAAACGATGATCTCGAAGACATAGTAGGCTTCCTTTTTGCAGATACCCCCAACAGATGTTGCACAGTTTGTAAGGGAGGCTCCCTCGAGCTTGTCTAAAGATGACTCTATGTCGTCTGCAGTATGTGGGTATGACGGTGTCAAATTTTGAAGCTTGTAAAATCCTCATGAACCTAAGATCGAGATGCCCAGAGAGTTTTGCCCATGTGTAGCCGTTGGGAAAAAATGTGGTTGCCATGTTTCGCATCCCGACCTGAGAAAAAGACATCAGACAACACCCAAACATGTTTTTAGGGCTTAGGGTTAAGGAGAAAAAGCGCACGGATATGGCAACGTGCACAAACAGGAGCCTCTATCACGACGTATTCTGTCATGCTTACTAAATCAGTCTTAGGGATCCCTTTTACTTTTTGGGTTCTGGGCTTTCTTATATATAAACAAAAAGGATCCTTTTTTCTTCCTAGGGGAACAGGGATTAAGTTTAGGGGTTGGGGTAAGCAGGCGCCCTTATCGAAGAGCTGAGGTGAGCTGAGCGGCGCAGTCATCGTAGCCTCAACCCAACAATCCACCAGGTCTCTAAAAGCTCATTATGGGGTTTAGGGTTTAGGGTTTAGGGTTTAGGGTTTAGGGTTTAGGGTTTAGGGTTTAGGGTTTAGGGTTTAGGGTTTAGGGTTTAGGGTTTAGGGTTTAGGGTTTAGGGTTTGGGTTTACGGTGGGTTTAGGGTTTAGGGTTTAGGGTTTGATCCAAATCATGAGACTTTTTTTGGATGCTAAGACTACGTAGCTGAAATGTTCTAAACCCTAAGCCCCAAACCCCGGAAACCCTAAACCCTGGCAGGCTTCTACAACGACATTGCGGCCGATGCTTTGAGTGGCACTTACCCAGGCACTGGTAAAATTGGAGGGCTACAGTCACTAGATGGAATGCCCGTAACTCTAAACCCTAAACTGCCCTAAACCCAGCCAGAAGACCTAAGGAATGCCCTGAACTCTAAGCCCTAAACCCTAAACCCAACCCTAAGCCCTAAACCCAACTAAGTTCGGGTGCGTGAAGTTCACGGTTGAGGGCAGCCCTCATCACTACCTAAACCCTAAACCCTAAACCCTTGGCCCCTCGAGTCCCAAAGGGCTCAACCTTGAAGTCTCCACCCGAAACAAACCCCAAACCAACTCTGAACACTTTTAGGGTTTAGGGTTTAGGGTTTAGGGTTTAGGGTTTAGGGTTTAGGGTTTAGGGTTTAGGGTTTAGGGTTTAGGGCACTTCGAAACCGGTCGTTGTCAGGTGATTCGCAAGTGGCAATGTGCGCAAGGGCATGCAGGAGTTTAAGCAAGTTGTTTGGGATGTTCCCCCTTATACTAACAGCCCTTAACAGGGATTATCGTACCCATGTTATAATCCCTATGAAGGACTAGTAGTATAAGGGGGAACATATTGCGCTGCCTCCCAGCCCCCCCCCCCCCCCCCCCCCCCCCCGGCGCTGGCCGCCGTTCCCCTTTTCGCAGCCCCGCAACTGAAACGGATCACTCTTTCCAGGTCACTATTTGCAGGTCACTTTCGTAGGCAGCCAGAACCCCACCCCAACCCCTCCATCAAAAACATGGACCTCATTCTCCCAACCCTCCCCAATAACGAAATAGAACCGCAAGCCCACTTTCGGATGCAAGTTCTATAACACCGCCAGCGTCGGCAAACTTGGTTTGCGCTCACTTGCGATTTGCGTTAGCTACGACGTCGAGGGCCGGTCATTTTATACAGCTCGTGCTATTGCGCAGGCGTGAGCTTCGTGCACGCTTGCCCTGGATTTGTGGCCACTGCTTGGGGAACCGAGATGCCCACTGCCATCAAGGCCTGAGCATGGACCTGGGCTTAGGGTTTAGGATGTGGCGCGCTCGCCCCCAAAACTGGCAAAAAAAAAGCCTTAGGCTTTCGGAGGCTCAGGGAGTTTCCGCCCTTCTGATCCAAAAAGTAGATATCTTTAAGGGTTCATAAGAATGGCCCAAAAGTAGTGTAGGGCACGATTTGGGGGTTCAACTTTTTTGGATCCTCCTTGGGTCTGGGAAAACCAGAAAGCTTAGGCTTGCACCCTCAATCATCAACCCTAAACACGTGGGCCTCACAACTTTGTGGTACTTTACTGTAACTTTAGATCCTTACCCTTTTTGGGTTAATTGGGTTTCTTAATAAGGCAGCTAAAAGTTTGATTTTTAGCTACCCTCCTGAGTGCCCCAAGACAAGAGAAACACGAAACCACTTAGTTTCACTAAAGTCACGAAACTCTCAACGAAACATGAAATGGTAAACCCCCAAACCCTTAAACCCCATAAAACCCCTAAAAGCCCCTAAAACCCCCTAAAACCCCTAAACCCCTAAAACGCTTAGACCCAACAGCCCGAAACCCCTAGCTCTAAAGCCATCAACCCCTAAAACCCTAAAGCCCTGAACCCTGATCTCCTAGACCCTAAATCCTCGACCCGAAACCCTAAACCTAAATCAGTGTTAGGGATCCTTTTTGCTTTTTGGGTTTTGGGCTTTCTTACATATAAACAAAAAGGATCCTTTTTTCTTCCTAGGGGAGCAGGGATTAAGAAACCCTTAAACCCAAAAACCCTATACGCTAAATCCTAAACCCTAACCCCCAAACCCATAGGCCCTGGTCCGGCTCCTCCAGAAGTTGGGTCGATCCAAGGAAGACGCAGGAGAGCGACTGGTCACGAAACAGTCCTTGGTGCCCTTAGCAGGATTTAGGGTTTAGGGTTTAGGGTTTAGGGTTTACGGTTTGGGCTGTAGGGGGGCAGAGTTTCAGGACTTTGGGGCACGGGTCAGGTTGCTAGACCTTGGCATGTCTGACAGCCAAGGGTTTAGGATTTGGGGTTGGGTTTAGGGTTTAGGGTTTAGGGTTTAGGGTTTAGGGTTTAGGGTTTAGGGTTTAGGGTTGAGGGCTGAGGGCTTAGGGTTTAGGGCTTAGGGTTTAGGCTTAGGGCTTAGGGGCATCCCCTACTGGTTTTGCATCGGCATGATTGAAGGGTCCAATCTTTCGTTTCTGGGATTCTCTGTGGGGGGCGGGATGCTATCCGATCAACTTATCATCCCTGTAGAATTACGCGATAAACTGCGCAACGCTGGATGTACAAAGCATGTATTGCTATTCTTATTTATTCTTCTTATTCGTCTTCTATTATTATGTCTTCTTCTTTTCCTTCTTATTGTTCTTCTTCTTCTTCTTTTTATTCTTCTTGTGCTTGACAGTTCTTCTATTTTCGATGTCGTGGCCGGCCTTCGCCAGTGATCACCGCAAAGGCAGCGCTTCCTCCATGCGAGCCTACCCTAAACCCTAAGCCCTAAACCCTAAACCCTAAACCCTAGTTTGTCTTGCTGCGTGGTTTGGGCCTTCTCATTGTCTTGGCCCCACTGCCGCCGAGCCTGCTCTCATCTTCAAACGACTTAAGTATGTCAATTCCTTAACAAGGGTTTGGGGTTTAGGGTTGAGAGTTTAGGACAAGGGTTTGGAATTGGGTGGATATGGCTGGACCTGGTTGGGGTTGACTTTCTTTGGAAGCGGTCAGGGAGTTTGGCTGGGATGGACCGAACTTACACTGGAACACCTTGCACTTAACGAAAAAGCAGCGCATGATTCAGAGCAAACGAAGAAATATCTGTTTCAGTCTGTCCAAAGGTTTGGGGCTGAATGGTTTAGAGGTCGTCTTCCGTGTGCTGCAAGCTTTGTGGGAGTATGGGGTACATCCCGAAATTATCGCGGCTCTTGGGCGGGGACTAGTGACTAGTAGATTCAGCATGAAGACTTGCCATCCATCCCGAAGCTCACGAAACGCACATCTAAGGTATCTGTTTCGGTGCCTGTACCACGATGATTTTAAAGGAGGTGGCTTCTACATCGCAAATGAGTATGGCGACAGCTCGGCGAAGCTGACAAACCTCCACGCCAAAGCCAAGGACGAGGTTTGGGCCCACACGCGGCAGATATTGTCGAGGTTTTAACTCGTCCAGAGCACTCGTTTGATGCGCGAAAAAGAGAAGTAAAAGACACAAGGCCTTGGTTTAGAGTCTGGAGTGAGTTTAATGGCATAGGCTTTCCAGAGAAGACGTTGAACCCCCACCCGCCAAACCCCAGGCAAGCCGGCCATAGCCATAGCTGGGCAGTGGAGTTCAAGATCTAGTTTTTTGGAGTTCAGAGATTGGCCGTGTGAAAGCTTGCGAGCTCTCATTCAGAGGGGTTCACGATGGCTGCAAGGAAATGATCGCTAGCTTGCTCTCGAGAAGTGGAAAAGCCGAAGTTGTGTGAATCTGAAGGCCGTTGGCAAAGCGACGAAAATGTACAGGTATTTCAGGTCAGATCACGGATTTTCCTCGGCAGACCCCGGCTCAAAGTGCTGAAGAGCAGGTAGATCGTAAACAGCGGAACCTGCCATGGCACGTGCAGGAGTCGAGGGCAGGCTTGCAGCAATGTGGGTCCTTCTCGGCGCAGGCCTTCTGCTACTCGGGTTCGTGGGCATTCTCTTTTCCACTCATGTCCATGACGGACCCGTCCGGCGATGGGGAGGGTTGCTGACCACAGTTATGGGCGTCCTTGTCATGTTGGGCGTCGTCGCCCAGAAGTATGTGGACAGTTGCCTAGACAGCCGAGATGACGGGCTGCCGCAGCGGTCATCCAGAGCTAGGATGCAACCACCAAAGGAGAGGCACCTTGTCTGGTCGTCCTGTGTATTCCAGGACTTGGCTGAAGCTGTGTCCACATTCTGCAAGGTCTACATCGGGCCGGATAGAACGTGCGTTGAAGGAGACGCCTCCTCTGTGTTGCCTGCTCGCAAGGTAGCGCAGGACGCGACCTGCGTATGCTGCTTGGAGGACTTCGCGCCGTCCAGTGAGGTTGCTGTCCTGCCGTGCGGACATGTCTACCACAGGGAGTGCATAGTGATCTGGTCCTTTTCCAATTCAACATCTGCAGGTGCATGCCCCATTTGCCGCTCGAGCTTTGAGCTGCAAACTGTCTGAGTCCATAGAGAAGCTTCATATATAATATATTAGCATATGAAATATAATATATATAAACCAATAATATATTCATATATATGTATATATATATTACATTTATACAATTTTCAGCTCTGCACGATTCGTTGCCTTCGTATAGGGCCATCGGCCGTTCGGCATCATGGACAAATGGAGGCTTGGGGCTGAACCGCCATAAATAGTAACTTTTATCATTGTTATTATTGTTGTCTTATTATTAGTATTAATATTCTGATGATGATTTTCATTCTGATTATTATTATAATAGTCCCTAGAGGTGGTGGAAGCGTGGCAAGACAGCCACTCTGTTCCCTGTTTTCCCTGCCACGTCATGCCACCCACAGTCAAGAGTTATGGCCTCAGCCATTTCCTCCGCCGCATATCCGCTCATCTTTTGCGACTTCACCTTGTCCAAACAGGATGCTTTGAAGGCCCTTTGGAACCGCCACCTGTAAAGAACGAAGGTTGAAAGTGGAGCTCGGAAAAGGCTGCAGGGCGATTTCAAGAAGCACGCCCTGACTGAACTGCACAAGTGCGCAGATGTTCTCTGTACCTCCCAAGCCCAAGCGTACCTTCTCATTCTCAGGGATTAACGATGGCTGTAGGGAGATGCTATTTTTGGAATGAAACGGTGGCAAAGTCAAGCACCAACATGCGCGCGGGCGTTTCAGGTCGGAACTCAGGGATATTTGTGCCAGACCTTGGCTCGAAGGTGCTGAAGAGCAGGCTGATCGCAAGCAACGGAACCTGCCATGGCACTTTGCGGAGTCGAGGGCAGGCTTGCAGTAATGTGGGGCATTCTCGGGGCATCCCTCCTGCTGGTCGGCTTCGTGGGCCTTCTTTGTTCCTCTCACGTCCAGGACGGACCTGTGAAACGGTCGGGAGGGCTGCTCACAGCTTTGGTGTTCATCATAGTAATGCTGGGTGCTTTCTGGACCGGCGTGGTCAGATGCCTAGACAGCCGAGAAGAAGGGCGGTCGCGGCGGCCATCTAGAGCTAGGATGCAACTACCAAAGGAGAGACACCTTGTCTGGTCGTCCTGTGTATTCCAGGACTTGGCTGAAGTTGTGTCCACATTCTGCAAGGTCTACATCGGGCCGGATAGATCGTGCGTGGAGGGAGACACCTCCTCTGTGATGCCTGCTCGCAAGGTAGCGCAGGACAAGACCTGCGTATGCTGCTTGGAGGACTTCGCGCCGTCTAGTGAGGTTGCTGTCCTGCTGTGTGGACATGTCTACCACAGGGAGTGCATAATGATCTGGTCGTTTTCCAATTCAACATCTGCAGGTGCATGCCCAATTTGCCGCTCAAGTTTTGAGCAGCGAACAGTTTGAGTCGGCAGATGCCGGGGCTCAATTTTCAGTTCCGCCGCATTCGTTCCTTTCTCTGCCTTCGTAAAGGATCCTCGGCCGTTCAAAGTCATGGATAGGAGGCTTGGAGCCAACCTCCGCATGGCGCATAGAGGTGGTCTCAGTGCAGGGTTTAGGGTTTAGGGTTTAGGGGTTAGAGTTTAGGGTTTCGGGTTTCGGGTTTAGGGTTTAGGGTTTAGGGTTTTTCAAGGCTTAAGGTTTGGGGGCTTAAGATTTAGCAATGTAGGTTTCACAAGACCGCCACCTTTCATCCCACGCCATGCCACCCCAGACTCCAGACTGGACTTGAATTTTCTGGCCTGAGTCATTCCTCTGGAGCATATCCGCTCATCTTGGGCGAATGCGCCTTGTCCAAACAGGATGCTTGAACGCCCTTTGGAGCCGCTTCTTGTAAAGAACGAAGGTTGAAGGTGGAGCTCTGAAAAAGACTGCCGTAGGCGCAGGGGCGATTTCAAGAACGACGCTTGCGCGGATGTTTTCGAACCCCAACAGTACCTTCTCATTCTCGAGGGATTTACTATAGCTGCAGGGAGAGAGTATGTTGCACAGTCTCGAAACGAAGTGGCCGAGGAGAACGGCCGAAATCCCCAATCTGACGGCCGTTGGCAAAGCCAATATGCACAGGCGTTTCAGGTCAAATCTCGGATTTTCGTGGCAGACCCTGGCTCAAAGTGCTGAAGAGCAGGCTGATCGTAAACAGCGGAACCTGCCATGGCACGTGCAGGAGTCCAGGGCAACCTTGCAGCAATAGCAATGTGGGTCCTTCTCGGCGCATGCCTTCTGCTACTCGGATTCGCGGGCGTCTTCTTTTCCACTCAAGTCCATGACGGACCCGTTCGGCGATGTGGCTCGCTGATGACCACATTCATGGTCCTAGTCATGTTGGGCGTCGTCGCCCAGAAGTATGTGGACCGTTGCCTAGACAGCCGAGATGAAGGGCTGCCGCAGCGGTCATCCAGAGCTAGGATGCAACCACCAAAGGAGAGACACCTTGTCTGGTCGTCCTGTGTATTCCAGGACTTGGCTGAAGCTGTGTCCGCATTCTGCAAGGTCTACATCGGGCCGGATAGAACGTGCGTTGAAGGAGACGCCTCCTCTGTGTTGCCTGCTCGCAAGGTAGCGCAGGACGCGACCTGCGTATGCTGCTTGGAGGACTTCGCGCCGTCCAGTGAGGTTGCTGTCCTGCCGTGCGGACATGTCTACCACAGGGAGTGCATAGTGATCTGGTCCTTTTCCAATTCAACATCTGCAGGTGCATGCCCCATTTGCCGCTCGAGCTTTGAGCAGCAAGCTGTTTGAGGTCGGTAGACGTCGAAGCCTCAATTTTCAGTTCCGCCGCCTTCGCTTCTTTGCCTTCCTATAGGAACCTCGGCCGTTCGGCATCATGGACATATGGATGCTTGGAGCCAACCTCTGCCTAGAGGTGGTCAAAGTGTTGGGATGTGAGTTGTTATGGTTTAGGCTGATTTAGGGTATCAATTTTGAGCAATGGGGACCTTGTTTGTCATACCATGTCGTGCCACCTACCATGTCGTACCACCCAAACTCGATTTTTCTGGGCTGGGCCATGTTTTCCACCGCATATCCGCTCATCTTGGGCGAATGCACCTTGTCCAAACAGGATGCTTGAAGGCCCTTGGGAACCGCCTCTTGTAAAGAACGAAGGTTGAAGTTGGAGCGCGGAAAAGACTGCTGTAGGCAAGGCGTGCACAAAGGCGTCTGACACAGGCTTTCAGCTTTACAAAGAAAACTCAGGACAGCTGGCCCACCAAGCAAATAAGCATTGTGCGCTTTGTCTTTGTCAGAGTCAAGTGCTGAGCATGCCACATCAACCAACTTCATGTCTTATACTTCTAGGCAACTGCAAGGCAGCCTGCAAGGCCAGCAAGATGAAATAATGCTACATATATATATATATAGATATATATATATATATATTTGGACATCACTGTGCGCAATGCCCTTCGGATGGCCTCCGGTTCTCAATGTGGTGGGAATCCTCTACTGGCTTTTGGGCATGCTGAAGGCACAAGCTTGGCGGAGGTGCCACGCGAGCGTGTCGTGTTACCTGAAGGACTTCCCCCCTGTGCTCGCTGAGCATCCAGGGAGATTGCTCCCAGCACTTTCAGAGATTGGTGTGGAGGAGTCACGAGTGCGTCTCAATTATTGGGGAGGAGCTATACTCACATCCCCAGTGATCATGGCCATCCTGTGTGAAACAACTCGCTTGATGTTTTTCTCTGCTAAGCTGGCCTTGTTTGGAAAGCCTGTTCCTGAGCCAAAAGACATAGGCACAGTCAGCACGGACAAACTTCATCCATTCCAGAACAATCCGTGGATAGTTGTTGGGATGGTCTTGTACCATGCAGCTTGTGCTGGAATGGTGGCATGCGCAATTCCGAACGGCTGGATTTCGAGCCATCATGGTGGGCAATACGCTTGGGAACTCTGGGCCCTTTGGCAGCAGCTTTGCCTGTGGACACTTTTTGCGCAGACATTGGCAAGATGTGTGATGCTTGACGCCAGCGCGCTATCATTGTGTACCGTGAAGGCTGTGCTGCTTTATACAGCTCCAGGAGTGAGTGAAATCACTGATACCATGAAAGATTGGGTGGTCACAGGGGTTTTCTGCACACTGCCTGGTTCAACATGGGGTCTTGTGCTTGCAATTGCCCTCGTGTTGTTGGATGGCCTCCTACAGCATTATCATATCGGCTTCAACTTTCGAGTGACAGGCAGCATTGTTGTGAACCCTCCACTAGTGCCTCTCTTTGTTCTCTGGGTAGTGCTTGTCCCTTTGTTCTCTGTAGTGCGTGTCCCGACGGCTCTTTTGACTGATGGTTGGCTCCTGGCCGTGGTGTCAGCTTACGTGATCATCTTCTCCTATGTTAGAGTCAGCTTGTATGCGGAGCCTGCCAGGGAAATCAAGAAAAGCTATTACGCTGTTCTATGCTTGCCTCCGCCAAAAACGAGTTCAGAGGAGGGCTGCTGTGCATGGGCTGCCAGACAGGCCATCACTTTGTGGGAGGATTTGCTAAGCAGCTCCCGTCTAATCATTGCCTGGGTGGAAGATATTCCGCAGGGCCTCCTCGGAATGATGTTTATCACGACATACACTCTTCCGAAAGAAGGAGTGGCTAGTCTCGGGTTTGCTGGAGTTTCTGCACTCATCAGCATTTGCAAAGGAGTCCTCATACCATACTTTCAAGATGGTATGTTTGAGCGGCGAAGGCAGGGCGTGCAGAAGGAGTTCGAAATGTGGGAGACATCTGATGAAGCAAAGCCTGCAGCTCTTGCAAGGTTTCTTGGCTGCACGGCCTCTCCTACTGATGCGGGCTTTATCGACCGTGACAACGCTCGAGGCATGCTGCAGAGCCATCTCATCAACTATTCAGAGCAGGTCTTGCAGAAGTTCGGCGTTCATGATCGGGAGATTTTTGCCCCGATTAAGCTTGATCGAGATGCATGGGTGCAGACGGTTTTGTTTAAAGAAGATCTCGGTCTCGACGCCTTGAAGCACCTTTACAAGATACATCTCGAGCGCGGGGCTGGAGAAGCAGCATTGATAGCTTCCGGCTACGGAAGGGAGGCAGGTCTTACAGCAAGCCGCTGTAAAGAGAAGAAGTACACGTGCATGCAATGCAGGAACTCGGGCTATTCGGCTGCACATTGCAAAGAGGCAGGCTACTCCTGTGCGGAATGCAAGAATGCCGGATACTCTTGCAGGGAGTGCGTGCAAGCAGGCTACATGGAACAAGAATGCCGCCTGGCCGGATTTGACGAGCGCGAGCTGCAGTTTGTACTGGGGAGAGAAAAACCTGACAACGGGGAAGCAGACAACCGACTGTGCAACCTGACGCTCGTCCTGGAGAAGCTCAGCCAGCTTCTCGGCTTGGACAGCGAGGACAAGTACACTGTCGCTGTGGCTGCACAAAGACTTTCATTGTGGTTCCGCAAGCCTGCGAGGCACCGGTATTGAACAGTAGATTTTTGAAGGCCCTAAATTCTGATTAACAGTCGATGGAAGACAGTAGTTCGAGGTCCCTCTCGACGGCGAATGCGCGTGGCTTCCCGAATTCCTCTTCACCACAGGCGTGGAACCGTGTAGGTTGCGCGTCTGGTTCCTAATGACAGCAACGTATAGCAACGGTTGTAACATGTGAGGTTGGGGCATCCCGCGGGAGGTGCAGTACATGATGTACGAAAAGCGGGCTGGAGAATCCGACAAGCTAACTAGGCTAAACTTCTTCGATGTTGCCGGGCCTGCTGTGCGATACCTGTGGGGCGCAACAGCTCTTTGGTTAATATACTTGGTTCTGCTGCCATTCCTCCTTGCCGGCCAGTCACAGTGCACGGGAGAAGGCGAAATGATGGCAGCTTATCCACCGTGGATTTGGACAAGCGTCATATTGTTGGTTTTGGTGTTGGCAGTCATCCAGATGCGATGCCTCATGTACACGATTGTGCCAGTTGTCCAATGGTTGGGTTCTCTGCAGCTGTCATCATTCATCAGGAGGCCTTCATTTCGGACTTGGCTTCTGTACAACATGGCGATGAGCCTTGTCGCTTGGGTGGATATGTTTGCACAAGCCTTGTTCTTTGGAGCGGGCCTGCGGGCATTCAAATGTGAAGGCCAGGTGGCTTGAGTGCCAGCTGTGGAGATTTGATCACCTGTAGGTGTGTTGCTTTTTTTCGAAATTCACAGAGGATGTAGGAACATTGGCACATTGATGCTATGACCGAAGACCGTGGAAAGCATGGAAGATGAATTGACCACAATGTTGTGCTGTTTGGTTACACGTTGCCTTGCTTTTCGTTGCATTCTCGTCTGTGCTCGGGTGTGTTCGCTCTGTGGGCACCTGTTGCTGCTGTGCCGAGCCAAAAGGCAGAGTCCACTCCGTGCCACTTTCCGTGCATCAGCATAAACAGAAATTGTGAAGATGGTTGTTTCTTGAAACATGATTTTGCTATTTCGCACGGCTTGAAAACCGACCTGTTGCAGGCTGGAGCCGCTTGAATTCGGCATGGCAGTCGGTGCGGGGTCAATCTATGCTGCCGTGGACAATGGCCAGCACCAACTTGGCCTTTGTTATTATGTTGCCGTGGCTGATGCTGGTCGCCCAGTTTCTATTCTTTGCCTTGTCAGTTTTACCTGTGAAAGCATGCGCTACGGATTTTCAGTGTCGGTCGGAGATTCATGGCTACGATACCTGTAGTAGCTTGTGCGGAAGAAGGACAGGGTTGCGTGTCCAGCAGATACGCCAGCATCCCATTTCTACATTCAAAGTTTGAGTGCTTCAGTTCGCGTTCGTTTCAGCTGAACACATGACCTTTACCCAAAGATGGAACCCGAAGTCGACGCTCGCGCGTGAGGAGAATTTGGCATGCGGATGCGCTTGAAAGTCTAGCCCGGGTCAACCGCATGGCCTCTTAGCCGCTAGAGACATATCCTGGTTGCAGGTTGCAGGTTCCTGAAATGTTGGTGCCAAGCTACCTTGCTTCGAGAGGATCCCGGCAAAGCTCATAGCGGCATATCGATTTTGAGAGCTTTCAGACACATGAGTAAGGGTTGTGGATGCGATGTCATCTTGCCACAATGCTGGATCGGCAATACTGAAATCAGGGACCTTGACTCCGGTCAGCCCTATCCTAACCTTAGAAGCCTTCTCACCTCCAAGCTCTAATTTGCGCGTGCTTGACCGCAAGCACTTGGACACTGAGGCTCTTCTGAATGCCGGGAACTTGGAGATGGAATTGGAGAAGAGCCGGAGCGTTCTCATCATGTGGCTTGGCCAATGAAGCAAGTGCTTACTTCAATACGGCTTGGTTTTGGATGAACCTTACAGGCTATGTCCGGAATCGCACCGTCTGAATATTGCGCAAGAAGCAGCCACACAATGCTGCTTGTCACACGGAGAACATCTGCACTTTGAGGCAAGACAAAAACTCCGCCCGAGCCGGGTTCGTGGTCAAGCTCAAGCTGAGAGAACTTCTGTGGCGAGCCCTCGTGCTACTGAGCTGAACACCAGGATTCTTGTTGGCCTCTTTTCAACAATAGCATCCGGATGAATTCGACAAGGAGGTGGCAGTCCATGTGTAGGCGTCCGAAGTCTGAGGTTCACTGTCTGCCAAAACTGCACTCGACTGGAGGCCAGCCGCTTCGTGACGCAGTGTGTTTGATGAGTTTTTTCGTGCCAGGGGTATGTGAGTATCGCGCCTTGTCCAGCTTCGTTAAGAGGAATACTGCCGAAACTCTGCGCAAGCAAGCGAGTAAGCTGTGCGTCATGGCGGTCGCAGTAAGCGCTGAATCAGCTGGAGGTGCAAACGCTTCTTTTTGCCCTGGCAAGATTGGCGAAGGGGGATGGCGATCTCTGGCAGGACGAAGATGGACGAAATGCCAAGTTGTTAAAGCTCAAACTGCTGCTTGCTTCTACACGTAGAAGGCAGCACGCAAGAGTTTTTAAGCTTGGAAAAGGGTCGAACAAGGGAACGACGCAGGCTTCATGTTGCTTGCGGCAGTAAGCGCCACCAGAGCTCTTCGATCTCCGGCTGCACGTCTGAGAGTCTGACCGCCCAGAACGCGTGGACCACATCTCTGAACCTTTGCCCTGGAAGGACCTCCTCGCGCTGGCTCTCAGCCACTTGGGCTCCTTGTATGAGCTTTCTTGCGTGCTCGCTGATCTGACGAAGGCCTGGCTGGGTTTTAGGAAACGTCAGCCCTTCACTTTTTCCCAGACTGCTGAAGGTCATGCAGTCCGTGGAGAGCTTGTCAGGGCCAAGCTCCAATACCTGCAATCATCCTGTATTCTTCCCAAGCACCTACATCACGCAGTAACTTCTGGTAGTTGCAGCAAAGGCAGCGCTCGCGACGTGAACATGAGGGTTGCAACATATTGATCATGTGATATTTTTCTGAAGGTTCAACGCATGCTGGTGAACGAGCTTCGAAACCATATGTTTGAGGACAGAGCTTCAAGCACTTGTCTGCATCATGGTTCAGTGTTTGAGTTGCGTTATGAACAGATGATGAAGTGGGATGAAAGCTCCTTTTAGGCCCGGGGCATTGGCAGAAATGAGTCTTTGTGAAACTGCATCTTGAATGGCTGGTTGCCCCAACAGTGTGGTTGAGCAATTTTCTATGGAGAGTCCTGACTTTACAAAAGCATGCTGTAGTATGCAGAGTCTATCATCGCACGTTGTAGTTGTAGCACACTGCTTCAGGGTAGTATAGGGTGAAGTGGAGCGCAGCCTGTGTTTGCAGGAGGGAATGGACGAGCAGCTCAAGCAGATTCGGTTGCTGCAGGCCGCAAGTTCTTCTAAGACACACACCGGTTTAATTTCTACCATAGTTGAGCATCTCAAAAACAGCATACTACCGTATACCTCCATCTATTCACTAGGGCACTGCAAGACACTAGAGTAATAGAAGCATTCAGCCCTTCCCTTTGCAAGCAACTTGGCACAGTGGCAAGTGCACTTGAGGTCATCATCCTTGTCGTGATGTTGCTGGGATCATTGGTTCAGCTTCATGCTATGGCGAGTTTGGTAGGTGTGTTCGTTTGCCATGATGGCATATGGATATTTCCGAATCATTGTAGCCCTGTGCTCGACATCTAGGCTCGGCGGCAGAATATGGCGCACCCGCATGTCGCATTGACTGGTAGCAATAGGGGCCTTCTGGCCAAGTGGAGGCAATCACTTGCTTCCCGGTACACAAGCTAAGTTGTGGGCAAGTTGCAGCCGCTAATCAGTTGTCGAGTGCACACAGAAAGGGGCATGGGATTCGAAGGCTCCGGGAGATTCATGGTACAGCTGTGATTGTTGCTATCCAGATCTTCGGCGCATGTTATTTAGCTGCGTGCTTCCAGTCTTGAAGTTGTGATGTTGGACCAGGAGGCTTCGAAGTTTTACTACCAGCGGCCGCACATGGTCAAGTCGTGCATACACCGTCACAGTAATGTCGCCCAGAATTCTTTGTTCAAAGCAGCAGCACAAGAAGTTACAAGGGTAGATGGGAATTTGGGAGACCATGTGGAACCCGGCCTGCTACTAGCTTACGGCTCGTTCCGCCCCGACAAGTTTGTGAACTGAGATCCCAATGCAACTCGAACCCTTCTGAGTTGGAAACGGTAAGGCAGCTGGCAGCTCCCAACAGTACTCACAGTTCTTCACCAGCAGCGGCACATAGCAAAGTCGCCCATACTAATATATGGTGCAGCGTCGCCCCTCCCCCCACCCCCCCACCCCCCCACCCCCCCCTGGTCCCCCCCCCCCCATGGCCCCCCCCCCCAATTCTTTCCCCCGCCCCGCCGCCCCCCCCCCCGGGGGGGCCCCCCCCCCCCCCCCCCCCCCCCCCTGTGGTTTGGGCCCCCCTGTGGGGTGGTGTGGTTGGGGTTTGGGTTGAGGGTTGAGGGTTTAGGGTTTAGGGTTAGGGTTTAGGGTTTAGGGTTTAGGGTTTAGGGTTTAGGGTTTAAGGTTTAGGGTTTAGGGTTTAGGGTTTAGGGTTTAGGGTTTAGGGTTTAGGGTTTAGGGTTTAGGGTCCGCGCCCCGCCCCCCTGTGGTTTGGGCCCCCCTGTGGGGTGGTGCGGTTGGGGTTTGGGTTGAGGGTTTAGGGTTTAGGGTTTAGGGTTTAGGGGTTAGGGGTTAGGGTTTAGGGTTTAGGGTTTAGGGTTTAGGGTTTAGGGGGGTGGGGGGGTATATGGGAGGTAACATAGCAGTTTTGGATACCATGTCCGGCCTGGTACTCATCTCGTTACAATCCAGCTGACCGCTCCTTACCCTTCCAATTCTAAGCTGGAAACGTGCTGGCAGCTTGCAGCGCGCAACGGTATTCGCAGTTACGAGCAGGGACACATGGCAAAGCCGTCCATACTCCGTCAGAATGACCCATATTTGTTCAATCAGCAGCACAAGAAGCTGCAAGGGTAAATTTTTGGAGACCATGTGGAACCTGGCCTGCTGCCCCACTCGCTGCAACCCAGCTGATTGCTCGTTCCGGCCTTGCAAGATTGTGACGAGATCCCAACGCGGCTCGAACCCTTCTGAGCTGGAAACGGTGAGTCAAATAAAAAGAGAGTCATCATCAATGGTGCCCAACGGCGATCATTTGAGATATTGAATTTCTGGAAGTATTTCGCCTTCATGATTCTTATTTATTTCCTTTCTGGATTTTGGTTTGAGAATCCCTTCATCTTTATATTATTTTCTCTTCTCTTCCGATGTCTTCCCTTAATTGGGGGGGGGGGGGGGGGGTGCGGGAATGGGGGGACATATTTGCCCAGACGTGGCTCGTCTCACTTGGGATTTCGTCTACGATTTTCATTTGAATTTGAGCTTGGTGCTTGAAGGGATAAGGTTTCCTTCTCTTTTCATCCCGAATCTATGGAGTAGAATTTATATCGAAAATTTCCGTGTCGGGTCATCAGATATTTATATAGGAAATTTATGACGCCAATTAAGAATAATAAAGATTTTCTATCCGAAGGTTTTTAACCTTGGTGCTTGAAGGAAAAAGGTTTTCTTTCGTGTTTCATACGATATCTTCAGATAGTGCGAAATAGGAATAATTCGATCTTTCCTGATCGCAATATGATTGGTCCAAGGATTTAAATCCCATATGTTGTGGAACGCCTCATAGTTATTTGTTTAGTTGGCGGCTTCCATTTTATTCATTTCGATATTTATTAAGTCTTGATCTTTACGATTCAATTCTATTCTTCGACCGGAATTCTTCTGGTATTTTT